GCAGCAGCATCAAATAAGCCCAGGGTTTCTGTGGCAAAAAAGAGGAAGAGGCAAAGAAAGAACAAGTGAGTGTATGTGTATGCACAGTTTTGCACAAGTTGAGACCATTTTCTGAAGAGAATGAATGTGAACGGCATTAGGAACCACCCCAATGAAATAAAACAGAGAGTGAAGTCAAACAAGGTAAACCGGTGATGGGGAATAGGAATGGGAGTGTGCGTGTCAGACTGACGAACTGCAAGTTATTCACCCTGTCCCACAACAGTTGATGATGTTGTTTTTCTTTCTTTTTTCTCCCTTTTTCTTTTCGATGGTGTCTTTGCAAGTGGAAGAGGTTGGGCGGTAGCTTTTGTGCTAGTGAAGGGGAGTCGACTCTCTTGTTAGAAGCACAGATGCCTCCAGATATCATGGTCACTGACTGCAGCGAGGAACTGCTCTGCGCCATCTGCTGCGACTCTTGGAAGGACCCAATAGAAATGGTGCCGTGTGGACATATTTTCTGCCGGGCGTGCGTGAAGGACGTAAAAACATGCCCATTGTGCCGCGGGTCTGTGACCAACATGACTAGACCAAACCGAACTTTAGTGAATATTTCACTTGCAGTGCCCGTAAAGTGCGTTACGTGCGGCTGGACTGGCACACGTGAACAGGGGAACTCCCATGTGTGTGGTAGCGGGACCAATAAACCCACCGCACCGCTCTCCTCTGTGCCGGGCTCGAGATATCCATTGGTGCAGCCAACGAGTGCGACTCCCTGGATTGAATACGGATTGACGCAGGGGGAGTACGATCAGATCATGGCGTTGTTTCTCTCTTTTGATGATGATGAAAGTGGTGGTTTGGACCGCAGAGAGGTTGGGCGTCTCGCACGATGGCTTAATTTTGCCCGATCTGACGCGGATATTGATCGTATATTTCGTGACATGGATGCTGATGGGAGTGGAACGTTGTCTCTGAATGAGTTTCTTACTTGGTTGCGTCACAATCGACCGGATCCGAAGGCTCTTTACGGACTCTCACAGGCCGAGTACAACACTGTCATGATGCAGTTTCGCATGTACGACAAGAACCAGGATGGTCTGCTAAGCATGGGGGAATTTGCACGACTAGCATTGAACCTGGGAGAGGTGGGGAATATTGATGCGGGAAGACAGCTCTTCACTTTCATTGACACAAATGGAAATGGGACGGTGGATCTTCATGAGTTTTTGATATACCGGTCTCGCACGAGACGCAGTTAACCAGATTAACCAGAGGTCATTAGTTGTTTTTTTTTCTTCTCCTGTGGATGTGAGTCAAGTGAGGGAGAAGAGGAATTGTTTGCGGGTGATTGGTCTGGATAATGTTAACAGGAGTATTCTGTATGTGTCTGTGGGCGTGTGTGGCTTCTCTTGGTATGTG